GCTTACTTAATACCACTAATTAAGCTTTTAGTTAAGAATATTTTTTCCAAGTTTATGTTACTTTTCCAAAACAATTGCTTATTGAGTTAAGATCTGATTAATACTTAAGTAACCTAACTCATAAGTAATATTGTTATATAATCTACTTTTCTCAAAAAAATTGCATGTTCTTATGCTAAATATTATTATTCACCGGAACACAATAATATTACATGAGACATGCTATTTAATTTGTTGGTTTTATATTTATCTAAAAAACATCTTCAATTTGATACAATATATTAAGATTTAAGCCAAACGAAGAATTTCGAAACTAACATTAAGAATAATTTCTAAAATTCAATTTTCTAATAATATGAAACTTGACTGTGACTTAAGTTTGTTTTTGATATAATTTGTTGATAGAGAATATGCAGTTTAATAGTAAATGGTTAGAGTTTTCTAAGTTTTTTATAAGTAAAATTTTACACGTTATCCATAAATAAATAAAAATGTCGTGTCTCTATAATTATGGGATAAGATTTGTCCTTTTAAGTGGGAGAATGTAGCTCAATTTCCAGAAAAGTGGGGCCGAATGTTGCTTTCCAAGGTGGAATAGTATCACGCAAGATAAAGGAAAAAGCTTTCTACAATTATCAACAAGTTAATAACTATTTAGTATTGACACATTATTAATGAACAATAATTAGTCATTAGCCATAATTCAGTATTAGTAAATTAATCTCTACCGTAACAATGCATTAATATATTATTGACCTGTCCGATATTATGGGTGAAATTACCTATTAATGACTACTTTGATCAATTTGGCAGATTAATTTGGAGTGAATTTTATTGAACATATTTTTTATGCCCATGGGATTTTTTCAGTCAAATTATAGAATTGTTCTGCAATTAGGGTTCCTGTGCAATGAATAAAATAATTTTAAAATAATCGTTACTAATATTTGTTTTAGATAAATATCTGTTTTTTAAAAGAAAATAATTTATAAAAACCAAATTTTAGTCCGAAAGTCAATTAGCATAAGGAAAGAAAAGGTATTATTAGCATTGTGCAACATCTATTTTAAGTCATAATTGAATATAAAAAGTTCAAATAACTTTAAGAATTATTTGTTTTAGTCACAAAATATTTTATTATTTATTTAATATATTTTACAAATAATAATATTAGAGCATTTAATGGGTATATTATTAACTCTTGTATAAAGTGAATCGAATTAATTTTTCATAACCAACAATTAAAAATCTCTAAAGGGGTATTTAACTAATATTTATATAACTAAATTCGAACTACTTTTAACTAATTTTACATAATTAAACAATAAGTGGGAGATTAATATTCAGGTTTAAGTTTTGGGTCATCCATCAAATCCAAAACTTAAAAAACTATATTCTTATAAGATGACTTCGTGGACGAGATTACCCCCTTACCTACAAAAAGTGCATCTCAAACTAAAAAAATGAGTAAACTAATTGACACATGAGTGAAAATTTAAAATTAATTAAATATTTTTATTAGTAATCTAAGATAATTTTATCAATAGGATGAAATTAAAAATATATATAAACATTATATTAACATTTATTTTTTAATTAATATTTAACATATAATTGAATGAGCAATTAAACTAAATACTTATAAAAGACAGTTTAACAGTCTTCAGTTTCTACTTGTGTTTTGGGTCAGATAATTACTTTAAATAATTTTTAAAAATATTATATTAAATAAAATCCGTTTTTCAAATTAAGTTATATCAGTAACATGTTTGAATAAAATATATAAAGAAAATAAAAGAAAAAAACAAAATAAATTAAAATTTATTTACATGAAAGTAAAAAATAGAAAAATATAAGAAAACTTTTATTAATTAATTTATGCATAAGTTAGTTTTAAATTATTTTTTAAAATATTTATGAAAAAAAGTGTATGTATACCTACCTATATAGACTAAATCTTAAAAGTGTATGTAGGGAAGAATATCCTAATAATGTTGCATGAACTCTTCCACGAAGTGTATTGTGATTATTATGGGGGCACACAACACAAGCAGTACATAGTGAATTATGTATCAAAGTGTCGTCGTTTCGGCCATTTGGATATTCATGTATCAATTTTTTTTTAAATTAAAAGTACAAAAAATGTTTAAACTATTTGTTTACTAATTAAAATTTAATAAAATAATAAAAACATGAATTTCATATGAAATTAAACAGCTATTTAGGTTTTCAATATTTTTAAAGTAATAAAGTTTGTACTAAAAGTACCATATTTGTGGAATCTTTGACAGCTCGTTGAAAAGCAAAAGCTTTGTATCTCCATCATTTGGAATCATACGTCCTTTTATGTCCCAAATTAATCCACTCACGGGTTTAACAAAAAAATATTCTATCATATATATTACATTTGATAACAAAAATAATTAATGTTATTCTGGGTTGGGTGGTTAATCATTGTTTTCTATTTGATAAATAACTTCCTCATGAGCCAAATTGTCATACATTATTATTTACATAAAATATGATTTTATTCTTATAATTTATAATAAAGATATGTAAATAATATACTTTAATTGTATCTATATTAATAATATTATTATAAAAATTTGCCAAAATTGAAGAGGAAATGAACCGAGTTAATCTATTCTTTTCTCATGATATAAATCTTCCCTTTTTAAGGTTTGAATGCCCTTGTGGAGCGTTTGATTTGACATGCCTCAAAAGTATATTTTACACTCAATTATTTTAAATACGGGCATGAAATATACTCTCTTTGAAACATAAATTAACTGAATTTCGGAGATAATAAATTACCATTAATATAATGAATTTCAACTTAAAGGAGAGCAATGAAAAACGTAGCAGTCCTGCATCAAAAATTGGTTCTGCCAAGTATTGAAAACAAAACACTAGGAAACAAGTGTGTTCCAATTATAAGGAAAAAAAAAAGTCCTTATATGTTCTCTTCTCTCCTTCCATCGTTGCTCTGCACTGCTTTTTCAAGAAATTTTCATCTCTTTTTTCTTTTCACTACTTGTTATAGGCTATTTGTTGGTTAGTTTTAAAACGATTCGAAAAAATAATAATTATTTTTTACCAGTTTTGGTTAGTTATTATTTTTTTAAAATTTAGATAATTCGAACCAAACCAACTGCATTAGATACAATACGCTTATCACGCTGTGTTTTCTTACATTTTTTTTTTTTTGTTTACATATGTTCTCTTCTATATTAAGCTGTTAAGATGGTTTAGTTTTGGTTAACTTTAACTTTGAAAATATTTAATTATATCTGTATGATTTTATTCTAAAAATAAGTTATAGTTGTAAAAGGTCACTATAAAGTTTTTGGTCTACCGTAAAAGTTATGCAAAATTGCTTTAATTTAATTTTGAATCTATTTTTTTAATAATATCTGTATGGTTTTTAAGTTATGTTTACATTGCAGATAAATCACCGAAGCAATAACCCAATTTGCAAAACCCATGAAATTGGGAGGAAGAACGGAAATTTGAGAGGAAGGGTACAATATCTTTAACATTTTTAATGATCATAATTTTAACATACAAATTATAATTTTTTATTACTTAGTCTGTACATTTATTATTTAACAAATAGTTAAAAAATAAATGTAATGCTTTATTTTTCAAAGCGAATATTAAATGAAACACCACTGCGGTAAATATCTTTTAGTGTCTGAAACCGGAGATGAACAGTAACTACATCCCCAATTGTCATTGAAGCAAATTGTATAGAAGAATGGAAAGAAACTCGAAAGTGATATATTCAACAAAGCACGATTGATATAAATTAATAATTGAAAATGTCACAAAGAAGCACCTTTTCTGCTACATGCCTAGGATTAAAACATACATGCAATAATCTGAATTGAAAACAAATGGTTTTACAAATAATAGGAAAAAACAAACAAACAGCAATTCCAATCAAGAGTGGTTGCTTCGACATCCTCTCATGTCGATTTTGACCTTATATTCCTCAATCCTTTCACCTGCAAAGCATAGTCAGTGACACACAATGAGACAAACCTCTCAAGTTCACGGGTTCAAAACAGGACGATATACTTCTACTTTACTCCTACCAAATACAAATCAAACCACGATTCCATAATTCCATGTGATCTGATAAGTGTGCTTGCTCAACAACAATCATAATCATATATAGCAGCAATTTCAAGGAAAAATATACAGACAGATTGCAGAAAATGATCCTTACTATGAAATATATTATTTTTATTGGAAATTTTGGAGAAAAAATGTTGGGATTTATATTATCATTATTGAATTGTTTGAACGGAAACTATAAACATTGGAATTAATGTTTTAATTAATTTAACAGTTTCTAGTTGAGTGGATAGGAAAGTTAGTTTTTGGAAAACTTTTTTCTTCTTGCTTCTGACATTGTCAACACTCTCTAATATTTTAGAAAACGACATCCAATCATGACCATTACTTGGAAAAAAAGTTCTTGGTCACAAGCTTAATAACATGCATGGGTCACGATTAGCTTTCCCAAATAGAGATTGAAGAAAAATAATACAAGACAAAATAGATCACCGTGCATGGTGATAAAGGTATTAGTTCCGAAAAGAAATAAAGTTGCATGGTCAAAGGTTGAGAGAAGTTAAATGATTGAATACCAAAAACTTCGATTTCTAATTCAAAATTAAAGGTTCATTAAGGAGTACAATTTGCAGAAAGAAGTAAATTTGCTATTCCCATTGTGCAGCTCATAACAAAAGGAAAGGAAAAAGCTGATGGACATCTAGGTGCTTATTAACACCTAAAAATGAACAAAGAAAGAATTAACGACATGATCTGATATAAAAAATGAAGGTGGAGAAAAATATTATAATATTTAAAAAAAATAAAAAATACCAGTGTTCATGTATAAGTTGATTTTGTGAAGTTGTGTTTTAATGGAAAATGTGTAAGCTAGGGAAAAGAAAGAAAAATGAGTATAGTTGGGGGTGCACTTAACTGGTTTAGAGGGAGCAGGTGTAACCCGGAGGAGGGGACTTGCCACAAGCCACAAGGAGCTGAAGGGCAAGAGGGACATAAATGTTGAGGTTGAGAAGCTTGAGCTTAAGAGTGGTGCAAAGACACACTGCAGCTTCAACCTCAACGAGCCCTTGAAGCACTGGACAGCACTGGTTGGCAACTGGGTCTCCCACACCAATGTGAATCAACCCACCAAGCAGATCCACACAGGCACCAAGTTTGAGAGTGTCAATGGGGCATGTGGCCTGTGCAGGAGACTTGGGAGGTGGGCATGGAGTGTTCCCTCCCTTCCCTGGAGTGGTTGGTGGGTTAAGCACGGGAGGGATAATACCGGGGGGATTCACTATTGGTGGGAGTGAAATGGGTGGCTTCAGAATTGGAGGGACAGTGATGGGAGGCACAGTAACTGGAGGCTTCACAATGGGAGGGACAGTGATGGGAGGCAGAGTCACTGGTGGCTTAACGATGGGAGGGACAGAGATAGGAGGCAAGGTGACTGGTGGCTTAACAACGGGTGTCTTTGGTTTATGCTTTTGCTTCTTGGGGGGTGGTTTCCCACAGTAGCCACAACCTAGAATGGGGGTGGCAGAGGAGATGAAGAGCATGCAAAGGAAGAGGTAAGCATAGATCTTTGAGGACTCCATGCTTAGAAAGAGAGAGAAAGAAGTAGAAGTAATATAGTGGAGAATGTAGAAGAAGAGAGGGTGATATATAGGAGTAGAAACGAGGAGAAGCAAACAAAAGAGGCTAAGAGCAGATCACGTGAAGATGGGGCTATAGCTACACTCAAAAGGCAGCTGCCAAGTTTTGCAAGCTGGCACCTTACAAGTTACAACAACTAAAACTACACACACAAACATTAACATTCATTTGAGTTTCTGTGTGCACTAAAATTTTAGTTTACACCATGTCCTACATTCAATCAACTACTACTTGCCAGAACTGGGGTACTTCACTAAACCCTCCTTCCAGTTGCTGTGGTTGTTCAGTGAAGTGTGGGTGCGAGGGAAAGGGAATCGAAACCCCGTGAAAGTACAAACTCACGTTACTTAGCCACCCAAAACCGTACCTTCGTCTTCCTTGCGCCACGGATCCCCACCACTTTCTTCGCCTTAACGTCATATACTTCCTATGCCATATATATCTTCCTTACTATTTTTTTCTTCCTTCTAGTGTTTTTAGACTTCTGAGTTAAGATAATTTAATCTGACTTTTATAATAATATCTCAACGACCAAAATCAAAAGTTTTTATATAACTATTTTCATATCTTATTATCTTTATTATGTAAAAGTGAGAGAAATATATAATATCATTACTTATTACCAAAGATAGACATGGACATGGTTAAATCTCAAAAACCATTTTCATTTACCTTCTGTACGGTATTGTATCTCGTATAAAAATAGTTTCTCACCGGATATGTTATATGAGACTTATTTGTGAAAAATATTTTTTCTTAAACATAAAAGAAATATATTTTTTTGTTTTTATTTTTTTGGGTCCAAAGAGTAGATTTGATAGAAAATAAGAAATAATATTATCAATCGAAAGATATATTAATCAAAATTCTATAGTATATACGATTTTATTGTATATATTTTTATTATTTTTATATAAGTTAGAGATATTATTTTTATCTATTTATTACGAAAGAAAAAAATATATCATTTGGTATTACACTCTTTATTTTAACGATTATGATATTTATAACATTTACTTTTCATTGTGTTTTAAAATATTGATATTAATAGGTTAAGTTTATTTTATTTGTCCTATTATTTTTTAATATCTTTACTTCACTATTTATTTTAATCCATGCTCTATTTATATCATTTAGTCTTTTATGCTTCAAAACATTTTAACCATTACACTATATTAAAATATATGACATTTACAATATATTTTATTTTACTTTAAACTTGATTGATAAATATTTAACAAATAACATAAGTAAAAAAAGTATGTGAAAAAAATAAAATTTAAAATAAAATAATGAATTTATACATAATAAATATTCAAAAATATTTTTATCAACCAAATACAATTTTTTAATAAAATATCATATAAACATGTGCTTCCTATTTAACAATTATTGTAATATTTTAGCCACTTTTTATCAAGGGTTTTTTAAAATAATGAGTTCAGTTTTATTTATATAATATAATATAATAAATTATGGCTTACTCTCATTTTATCTTTTGTATTTTTATAATTTATTTTAGATCATTAAATTATGTCAAACTAAATAATGATAAAGAATTAATATCTATTACTTATTTTTAAAATAAATATATCAGAAATTACCTTCTACTATAATGACAAGTATTATTTATGAATTTTAAGTTTATTCAAACTTTTTACTACTAAAAGTTACACCCTCTCACAAATTTTATTTTAAAATAAATTTTTCTTTCAAATTTTGTCCTTTAACTTGTAAAATATCTTGAATTAAATTCCGATATATTTTTACTTCAAAACTTGACATACTTTATAAAAATGACATCCTATTCATCACTTTAGGAGAATAAAAGACTTTAGTCATGTTCAAACAGTGTCAATACAACTTTTTTTAGTAAACTTTGTTCACCATTTTGGTGACAAGCACTCTATAACATCTTTTTACATCAATTATCTGATAAAATATACTAAGAACTGTAACCTAGCTCCACCTTCATCACTCCTCTCAGTGCCACCATGTTTATTGCCTCTCTCTCCTCTTCAGTAACGGATTTGATAAATTCATCACCTAATCTAGTTAAAATTTGTTAGATCTAGTTCAGTCAAGTTTTATATTTTTTTATTTGACTAATCCCATCCTTAATCTGACTATTAGTTTGAATTAATTGGATTATACCAATTTAATTTTTTATTAAATTTAATTTTAAAATATATTTGTTAATATTTCTAGAATATATTTCTTTTAAAATATCCTACGTTATTTCTTAGCTAAATAATTTAATTATCTACTATTTCAAAAATACATATTTAATTAATATAATAATTGAATAAATTAAATAGTAAATATATTATTATTATTATTAATGTTAAAATTGATTTAGTGGATTGGATTAAGTTTTAAATTTAAGATAAAAACTTGTTATGTAATCTTTAAGAGATTAGATTGGATTGAGTGGTGTTGGATTTGATCCAATTATAAACAAATTTTAACTATTTTTGAGTTGAATTAGGTGACAGAATCAAACATTTGCTGATATTTTAATAAAAAAAAGGACGTAAACATAGGTTATACAATCTTATTTATTAATATTATATTCATAAAATGATTGATTTAAAATAAAATTAATTAAAAATTATTATTTTATTAGTAAATAAAGTTGTTGAATGAATATTGGTTGACAGTGGGTTATTAATTTATCTTTTTTCTTTTCTAATAAACCCTTCTACTCTTCTTTTTCTACACAAATCTCCTTTAACACCACTGGTCATCCCAAGAAAAAAATTTGTAAGAGTTATATATATTTATATATAAAATTAAAAAAGTATACTTTATTACTTTAATTACTGAATTACTAAATAATAAATAATGAAGAAGAAGAGTATATTTCAAAGTAAATAGATAATTTCTCTTTATACTGATATGAATACATGTTATATTTCTCATTGGTATTTTATTGTTATTTTATAGTTGTTATTTTGAACTTGTTTATTATATTATTGTTACGTCAATATTTTAAATAATTAAGGTAAAATAAATAAAAGATAAAAAATGATCTTTTGTAAGAAGTGCACATTTTGCATCAATACTTAGATAAATTAACATAAAAAAGGTAAAGCTTTTATTTGATTCATGACTAAAGTAAAATTAATTTATAATAAAAATAAAAAGAATTTATTTTTTAATTCACCTAAATGCATAATAATTTTATAACCAATATGAAAAATATTTTTTTCTTTAAATGATGAAGAAAATATATGTTGAAGATGCAATAATGATTGTGAGTAAAACTGCGAGAGGAAATGAAGGATTAGCTATTTAAAAGAAGTGATATTTTGATAGCCCTATAAACATATAACTGTCAAAACAACCCAGTTTTATTAATATAAATAATTATAAAATGATTTAATAAAAATGAAAATAAATTAAAATTATTATTATAATATTAAATGAGGATTGTTTTTGAGGGTGGTATGTTTTAAGGTTATTAAAATATCATTTCTATTATGATTATGAACACAACCATGACAGGGCTGAAAAAAGAAATTGGAAACAATAATATGTAGTAGTTGATAACTACGATGAGAGTAAATGAGGTGACGATGACCATATGTTTTTCACGCACCCAAAAATCTTAGCTATAGAAGTTCTTACATGGTGGGGCAAATAGTTGGAAAAACATAAAGAAACAATAAACTTTTGAAACTTGGTTTTGGGGTAGAAGGCTTAAGAAAGGTAAAAGTGAAAAAGAGTTATTACTTATGGCAAGACAATGTGACAAGTAGCGAAAGGTTCTTAAAGCTTGAGGAGTTTTAGAAAGAGAGTAGAGTGTGGTGTATTGAAACTCAGAATGAATCAAGTAAAAAAAAAAGATGGTCGTTAATCAAGTATAATTGTTAGAGTACAAGAACAATAGTACATTATTACTAAATTTGTGTATTTTATAAAATAAAATATATTATAAAATTTGTCGTTTATTTAAATTATGCAATACCAAAAATATGGAGAGACAAGAGATAGCATCACAGATTCTTTCTATACAGCTGTTAAAAAGTGATAGCGAAACGAAGGAGAAGTGAAAATGTTGAAAACCCAGTTTGATTACACCTTTATAAATCGTGACTTCTAAACCTTATTTTATAACTTAATTTTACAAAATTGGATTAAGTATTCTTTAACTTTTAAGAAGATATATATCAAGATAGTGAAATTATTGTATCATTTTATATTATAAATAATTTTGTAAAATTAAATTAGATAAAAAAATATTTTATCGTAATTATAATATTCATATCCGTATACATATCTTGTTTTGTGAAATTGACTAATGATGTTTGTTGTTTAAGTTAATATCTACTTATTAATCACGTTTGACTAAAAGCTCTTGCGCAACAATGCGTCCTGCCGACAAGAAAGCGATTTTTTTAGGAGAAACAATGATTCAAGCATTCAATTTCTCTTAAACGAGTAATCCACACACTAAACTAATTTTCGTTATTGATTAACAAAATTAACCATTGATATTATATGAATATATATAATAAATTTTTAATGTATAAAAATACCAACAGTAATCTTTTTATCAATGCTTGAAATTAATTATTCAGAACTCAAATAGTTTATATATATCCTTTGTTCAATTCGAGATAGTTGATTACAGATATATAAAATTAAAACTTAACATTTTATCCGAGGAAAAAATGAATTACTTAAGCAAATCACTACTTAACATAATAATATAAATCATCAATAAGTAAAAATAAAAGTAATAATAATTTTTAATCTCTCTAATATATCTAATTTTTATTTTGGTTTTGTTTCTCTTTGGAGAAAAATTATTTGATTGAATCACTATTATTATTATTATTATTTTCATCTTAATCGTTAGCTATTAAGTGAAAAAAAAAACTTTGGTGTTCCCCAAAACATGATATAGAATGAAGATTTTGATCAATAGAATAAGAAAGTAAATAGAAATTTACAATTTCATAAATACTAAAACAATGAGGTTAATGATTTGAATTGGATGTCATGCGAAAACAACTAATTAAAAAGTAATAGAAATACAAATAGATAAGTTTTTCTTAGAAAATCTCTATTCCCATCTCAATCCATTGTTTCTTTCTTTTTTATTTCTCTAATTACGAAGAAATATCTCACCTAAATAAATTAATGTTTAGAACAAATTAATTATCATTAGGAAACAAGTAATTTTAAAATATTTTTATTCAAAATACAGGAAAATAAATGTAATTAAGAAGAAAGAGAAAACTAGAAGAGTTGGATCTTAAAAATAATTTTTAAAAATAATTTTTTTAATAATTCTAATTTTAAAAAAACTTTTAGAGTAAAAAGAATGACATCAATCCTCACCAAAACATTCTTTAATGAGAAAAAGTTGAGGAATGTTTTTTAAAATTTTATGATAATAAATATAATTAATTTAATGTAATTATTGATAAAATTATTAATATCTACTAATGAAAAAAATTAAAATTAAAATGACTAGTTATTATTTTTTAGTTTTTAATTTTGAAAAATTAAAAAACAAAAAATAAATTTTAAAACTAATCGAATAAAATATTTATCAAATATGTTTTAATTTTTTTAAAAATAAAAAATAAAAAATAATTTATAAAATAAAAAAAAAAAACAAATCCTTATTATCTACAAGTTCAATTTATTAATATAATAAAATAATTACAAATAAAAAATGTTTATTATATTAATAAAAAGAGGTATTAAAAGACTTTTTTTTTAATGGAGTGTCAATATATTTTTTCTTCTTTTGTAATATAACGAGGAAAACGAGTTATTAATATTTATTTCACTTTGCTTTTACTCTTGATCACCTAAGACTTTTCTTACACTACAGTGTAGGGTGTGAATGGAGTGTGCAAGTGTGGATTGCTCATTCTTGTGTTATAGTAAGAGAAGTGAGAATAATATGATCACAACTTCCACAGTGGTGTGGTAAAAAGGATTGCAGATGGGTGTAGTGTGGGAAAAGTGGGAATGGGAAACAGCACAGCTTGGCAGCCATGTGAGAAGAGTGGTCAAAAGAGTGGGATCGATTGAGAAAGAGAATGATTATTGAGATGGAGAGAGAGAGAGATAGCAGCATGCCCCTGATGGGGATATGTAATGCGTGATGGGATACACTCCTTCTAAAAGCCTTTTACTTTTTGTAACTTTCTGCATCCGTGAATCACCTTTCCTTCATTTGCTATCATCTCTCTCTCTCTCTCTCTCTCACACACACACTTATCTCTTTATTTTCCTCTTCTCTTGTTGTCACCCTATATTCTGTGTTATACTGCTCTGAACATGCAATGGCACCACAAAGTTCGCTATATACTATATACAGTTTCAGACTTGTATCATCAACCATGGTGTATAAATGATCGATATACACCATGATACACCCTCATCCCCCAGATTTAAAACTGTTTATATGAACCAACTTGTACAAAGAGATAAACGATGTATGGCCAGTGAATGTTGTGTGTAAAAATCTGTCTAATGACAGGAAAAGAAAAAAGTGTACATAGCGATTCATTACTTTTGCATAGTTCTTTTTTATTTTACATCAATAAACTTACGAAGTTGAACCAGATAAACTTTCTCAATTCATGCAAACTTTAGTACACACGTCGCTTCTCTCTCACCCATTTCTGCTCCTGCCAACTAATGGTCCCATATTATAAGTTTTAACTAATAAAATGATGTCTGTGGTAATTGATTTGGAAGGTAACTCACCAAACTAATATTATTGTCTCAAAAGGATTCTACAGTTACGCAAACGCAGGATGGTGAAATTATTTTATCTGAAATGAAGTTAGATGTTGAAAGTTTTCCGACCCACTACAAAATCTAAGTTTGTTTTCTGACCACAGAATCCCGATGACGGACAAAAGAAAGACATTGAATTTAATACCTATTAATGGGCATTTGTCGTCTGTGATGTCAAAGACCCTCCATAGAGTCAGAGTAATAGCATCGAAACATATAGATGCTAAATTTGCAGCAAAAACTAGTGGCTGTGGTGATTCCCTGAAGCTAAAGGTTTGAGAGTGAAGGGACGTACTGCTATGTACAGAGTGTGAAATTGATTCAATGGTGATTTAGTGGTTTACCAATGAGCATGCATGCAATTGGGTTAAGTACAGCCAAAATTGATTTTTTTTTTGTGGTGAAAATTTTCTTTGTAACAATGAACAACGTATGTAGACACATGGGGATGGGGTGCAAGTGGGAAAGAGATAGTATGGTATAATATTTATATTTTGGGATGAAAATAATTGATCTGCAAGTGTCATGTGGCAAAATGTTACAGGAGGAGGCACAGGACCTACAAAGATTATAAATGTGAATGGGTGTATATATTTGGCATATATGTGAATTATATGGCCCCAGTAAAGAAAAGTATCTCATCTTCTTTGAGACAACCAAAGTATATATGATCTGATCTTGTCATCTGAATCAATACAGAGAAGTTCCCGTGGGGGCAATTATATGCCTAACCCTCAATACACTTTTTTCGAATTTGCCTAAGAATTTTTGGGAAATTGTATTTCCAAAAGATTAATTTATGTTTTTCTTTTTCCCTTGGACATTTTCTTATCTCATCTCTACTACATCTAATGCCTGTGAAAATTTAACTCATGACCCTGCTAATCTTGACACAACCTTTTAACACTTGCATCTTCTTCATGGTAGAAACCTGACTCACTTGAGCAACATAAAGTCTTACAGGCTTTTTTTATTTCATGGAACATATTCTTAACTAATATATCCTATATATTCATGATCAAATCCCCCTTTTTATTTTTAGATGACTGTCATAACTTTTAAAACTCTTGCGTTAGTAAGAGCTAGATGCAGTAATAACGTAATTAATAGTTCAGAGTACACATCTCAGAGGTTTTCAACTTAGTCATTTATAAACACAACCGGGTAGGTGTGAGTCCTAAGTAGGATTGATGGCTAAGAAGTACCTCAAATCCTTTGCTTTCAGTTAGATGTGACTCTTCCAGTTTTATCACGTTCCCTCAGAAGTCATACAACTACACTTTGGTTTGAGCTGCGAGGACATAAATTCAAAGATCCTGTGATGCATCTTTAGTAAGATCCAACATCGACTTTTAGCTTGAATGTGTTTTAAGATCAATGAATTAGGAGACACTTATCTGATTGGGTCATCTAGACACATAGCTTGAAATAATTTCAATTAACCCTCGCCATTTAACAAGGAAACTCTTTCTTATTATCAAAATTGTATATATTATTTGACACAAAGTATAATTTTTGTTGTTGTGGTTGTATATTTTTTTCTTGGTTTAAATTCAGGTTACTAGTACCAGTTATGTTATGAAATCACGCGATGAATGACAAGTTTAATATGTAAAATACTTGTTTGATTAAGCATTAGTATATCACAACGTACGTTTGTTTCATGTAAAATTTACGACAACACAATTTAAACGCGTTTTAATCACGTTCACGGGTGTGGAGTGACGTGATCCCTTGCTAAAAAAGTGATTTTGGAAATGAAACTGAATGGATGATTACCACAAAACTACATATTATCTTATCATCACTCATTCAATGAATATTAGGTTATATATCTTTCGTGTGGGGGCATGGGGTGCCTTTCTGGAGCCAGGTGATGTGATGTACAAAAAAGAAGAAGGGTACCCTACCCTACTGCCCCCAACTGCTCTAATCATGCACTCACTCCTTTCCCCTTGAAACCAACGCGTACGCGTCCCCTCTTGCCTCAGGCCCTCCCAGTGCATCATGATGTGTTCTTGTTCCTTAGTTCGTAAAGAAACTCCATTCATGTCCCCTTTTATAGTTCCCAGTGTACATGCTAGATACCAAGATTCACTCACACAGGCCTCTTCACATTCACTGTCTTTTTGCTATACACTATTTAGTGCAACGAAGAGGAAAAGAGAAAGAGGCCGGATTAGTTCTAATGGAGGACAAAGAAAGAAAAAAGAGAAGTATTAATTTAATGAGTGAGAGAAATTAGTATTTGTTTAAAATTACAATTTAAGAGAGTAAATTGTAAATTATGATTGTTATATATTGAGTCAAATTAATCATGCAAAAGAATTTTTCTAATAAGATGTATGTCCATGTTTTGAGGCAATTTTGGTGGCACCGAAAATACCGTAGTAAGCATGAAAAAGGATAGAGGCAGAGTTTCCTTTTAAATTTCCAGAGTGTCCTTTACCCCATTTTTGGACACCAAATCAAATCAAATGGACATTTTGTTTCCTCTTCAACTTTGTCTTGGTGTTGGTGTAATTGCACCTCCAAAAACCAAAACCAATTTCGTTACACGCTCTAGCCACACAAAACAAGGAACGGCCTTTGGGAGATTACCTTCTAGATCTTGACAAAGCGTTTTCACCTTTCACTCAAAAACTGAGGAACCCTTTGAGGATCAATGGGGATTTTGTATGGAATGGTGGCAAGGGGGCAGGTGGTTCTGGCTGAGTTCAGCGCCACCCAGAGCAATGCTAGTGTCGTAGCCAAACAGATACTTAACAAGATCAATCAAGGGGATAATAACAATAATGATAGCAATGTTTCTTTTTCCCATGATCGCTATGTTTTTCATGTCAAGAGGACAGATGGCCTCACTGTTCTTTGCATGGCTGATGATGCATTTGGAAGTAAGCTTCCTCTCATCCATCCATCCATCCATCTATTCGTTCCTTTTTTGTTCTTTTTCTTAAAGTAATGTTTTCTAGTCTGCTTGTGTTTGGCTTGGTGAATCTAATCATCCAATGATGAAACAATGCTGATCAACTATTTTATATTTTTGTTTTGGCCTTCTGGGATGGTGCTAATGAATCGATTCACTTGTTGCTTTTTTTATCTATCTATCTATCTATCTAATTATATGTGTGTGGATTGGTAGTTTTTGACACCAATGCAGATGATTTCATTCATCTTTAAGTATAGATGATGTCAAGTGCCTGGAATGTCTTGGCATATACTGCAATCGTGTGATTTGTTTGACATAGGTCATAGGTTGTTAGTGTTTTAGATTTTTTATCTTTAACAGTCTAGATCACATGGCTCTATAGCATGGTGGGGCTAGCTCTAGGGTGAAACTTTAGACTTGTTTAAGAGGAATTTCACTTGAACTAATGTCAGAATTTGATTATGCAATGAAATTTCCTTCTAGTGGGAAATAAACGAGCAAACTGTTGGACAATCACGTTTGTTCGAGTAAACTTTGCTCTTTGATCTTAAAATCATGGATATTATCCCAAAATCACAGTTCTTTTATGAGGCGTGAAAATGTCTAATCAAGAATGCCATATGCAAAAGCAAACAAAAATGGAAAACCGCTGACGCCAAGATACACTCATATGGGACCAATTCTGCTAATGGTCCCTTCCCTTACCCTCCTTTCTTTTGTGGGAAGGGCAAAGGCATACTTCACTTTTATGTTCACAAGAATCTTTTTTGATTATTGATTGCCCGTGATTTTAATGTAAGGTTCTTTTGGTGACTTAGATTTATAAAACTTGGATTAGAAGGGCGGATAGTAACAGCTTTAACTATGATAATCTAAGGTTTACGTGGTCGGTGCTTTAACTAATTACTGATATGTTAGGGACAGCATGCATCTCAAACCTCTGCTTGATCAGTTTAATGACAGTCATTATATTTATTCTCACCTTGACTTGGTGGTTTCCTGTAACTTGTGATGCTGAAGAGCCTCCATGTAACTTATTATTGTCAGAGAATATAATTTTATAGTTTAAACTTTCAATACACAGTAGAATCTACTTATTTTAAAACTGCTGAAAACTTTTATTGCAATTGATAGTGTGAAATGATTTTCGATGACTAATAGATCACATTTAAACTTACTGAAACCTGGTGAACTTGAAACAGAATGTAATCTATATGAGCAAAACATTCTTGCTTCATTTGTTGTACTCTAGAGTTTACAATTCCTTATTAGATGTGATGAATCTTGTCTTTTAATCACTGCAGGAATGGTCCCTTTTGCATTTCTTGAAGATATTCATAAAAAATTTGTGAAGACATATGGCCGTGCGATTCTTTCATCTCCTGCCTATGCCATGAATGATGAATTCTCAAGGATCTTGAGCCAGCAGATGGATTATTACTCCAATGACCCAAATGCTGATAGATTGAACCGTCTCAAAGGTGAAATGACTCAGGCAAGTTCACACAATATAAACATTTTTATTTATCTACACCTTGATCCTTGTTTATAATATCTTCTCTGAGGGAGTTCTTGTCTAATTTTTCCATTCCAAATGTTCCGGTCGACCCCTTTTGATTGACAATTTTAATTTCCCTTATTATTCTTTTCATTTTGATATGACAAACACAAACTTGAATTGCACAATTTTAAATGTTGTATTTGATGTGGAAAACTTAATTTCAAACTGACATGTGATAAGATGCATGATTATTTAGGTACACAAGTGATTTAGAATTGTTGATTTGATATTAAGATTGTAAAGTAGTTTTTGAATATTTATCTTGTGATGATGATAGGTGAGAACTGTGATGGTGGACAACATTGAAAAAGTATTGGAGAGAGGTGGCAGGTTGGAACTGTTGGTAGAGAAAACTTCAGCAATGAATAACAATTCTATTCGTTTCAAAAGACAGTCTCGTCGTTATAAAAACAACTTGTGGTGGAGTAACGTTAGGCTAACGTAAGTACAACAAATTCATGTCTAAATTTGCATAACCGATTTCATGCATATGTTTCTGCATTAATATTGTTATTGAACTTTGTTAGGTTTTGTTATTGTCTCAGGTGTCATTTCTCTTTCAATAAACATTTTCGTAAGCTTACATGATTATTTTAACATGAAGATCAATTTATGAGCAAACATGAAGTCAAATTAATTGAATCTTTGAAATCTTCTATTCATTCGTACTAATGTTGAATTGCACAATAAATTTGAGTATACGTTTGATTTGAATTGATATGAATTTCTTATGATCCCTCTCTTCCTCATGCAGGGTTGCACTTATTATAGTATTCGTCATTGTGTCTTACATTATACTCGCCGTCCTCTGCCGTGGTCCCTTGTTGACTTCGTGCTTGAGATAAGCTGTGAAGCCAAAAATTCAATTATTTCTTCACTATTTTTTGAGACCATTGTACTGCTTATGTTCTTGAGAATATAATAATATTGGACCAATCAACAAGGGAATATAATTTATTGCTATGCAATCATTTATCAGATATTACCAATTTAGGTTTGTGTTTGTTTTACAACGTAATTAAGCCTTGTGTTGTGGATGACTCTGCGTTGTAATTGCTTTTTTGAATTTCCTTTCATTCGTATATACCATCAGGCATAAGTAAACACCTTTATGAAGGTAAGATAGAATCTTGAGTGATTTTTTTAACCTAAATCACTGTATCAGAGTTGTTCAAAGCTTTAATTAAGCACTTATGTAGATACTTACCCTCTCAACCTTCCTATATATATATATATATCCCGATTTTGTTAAAATTATTATTAAGTATTTAAAAAATTTTATTTTATTCTTTTTAATCTTATATATTTGAACTTATTGATAGTTATTCTATGATAAACTTGTATGCAGTTGAAAATTATTTTTAAGTCCAAACAAATATTTAAACTATTATTTAGACACCAAAAGAAGTAAATAGTATGATGCATACAATGAAATGGTATGAAAGGAATAAATAAATTGATTGGATTGAAGGGGTATTAAGATTGTTGACGGCTTGTTATTGTTTTGTATATTTTCTCAACATTGTTATGGCAATTTTCAATCAAAAAATGTCAATTACTTTCTCTGTTCTTTGATTAACAATGGAGTCATATGCTAGATGCTTGAAGTCTTCTCATGTATGATTGTACCTGCAGTTCATTTTCTTATTAGCGGGATTTAAGTTTCTTTATAACTCATTGATTGCATCACACAAGTTATGTTTGAAATTCAATTTTTTTAATTGTTCAAAAGTGTAATGGAATACAATCAAATTGAATGCTTTCCCATTTCTTGTTGGTGGATAAATTTGATTCTTTTTTTATTATTATTATTAAATAATTATTGAACGTTTTTAATGAAGGATTAGACACCTTTAAAGTATAAAGTAAAATCAGTAGTTAAGATTTTGACAAGTTAATGATTTAGTCTAGTATGCATACACTGTATTTCATTTTCAACTGTTTTTTAAATGACTGTCATTATTTTATTTTACAAGTTTTAGATCCCAAAATGAACAAGTGCATAAACTACATTATAACCATAAGTAATCAACGATATTTTAGGCATGAAACAGTTTATCCCTACATAAATGTTTAAACTTTTATATGAGAAATAATCTTCACACACACAAAAAAAAAGTGTTGTCTTTTAAAATATAGTAACACTTTCACCTGATTTAAAGACTAATGAAAAAATAACTAAAATAATAATTTTTCTAACTATAATATTGATTAAGAAAAAGATTTATTTTATTTTTTTAAAAGTTGATTATCTTGTCAAAATTATTCACCTTGTGGAATGAAGTATATATTTTAAAAAAAATAGTCCATGATGTACAAATTTTGATGGTATGTGTTTTTCATATGTAAATTTGTGGGTGTTGGAGAGTTTTTTGGGCTTATTGACAGGTCTAGCTAGGAAGACAATGCATCTGGGAAGTAATTTAGTTGGTATGAAGGCTTAGTTTTCAGAAGCATTGACACGGGTTAAAGTATGTGCGACTGTGGTGGAGTTTGAAGTTTTGGAGATGGTTATAAACAGATATGAGAATGACAGTAACTCTGATGAGAGGCCAGACTGACATGTTTGTTCATCCGCTGGGGTAGGGGGTCTGCTCTGCATGTGTTTCAGCCAGGCCATAATGTTTCTCTGTAGTGGCCTTTCTATATAACCAAATCCCATTCTATATGCTTCCCATCTGCGTATATGTGTATTTTATAACTTGCAACATGCTATTATTGCTTTCTGTGTACTTTTCTCTCATCTGAATCTTAATATGGTAAGGGACTTCCTTAAATAGAGAATAAAACTAAAGTACAGATAGCATGACTTAAACTATACTTTTCCTAAAATTTCTTTATTGCAATAACTCCCTCATCACTACACTCAGATCATCCTTTTCAAGGGTAAAATTCATATTAATATACTTTCACTATATATTTTCACCGTATTATTCAATCATACGTTAAAGAATTCAATCTTTTGTATAGAAAGTTAAAAGTGATATCTAAACTTCTTATAAAGATAGAATATTTTAATTTTGACGACATCATACATTATATAAACAGTTTGACGTCGACGTTGTGTACTACTGATCAACTAACAGAAAATTCCAAACAATAATTATTCTTGAAACCTTTGATTCGTTTGCATTGCATACTTTCAACAAAAGAATGATGTTTTACCCAATGCCCAACAGACTTAGCCTTGTTCAAACAAGAAATATGTACGTGTGAATAAGAAAGTAAATACTTTAAATTATATAATTGTACTTCCTAAATGCAGAACCATTGAGAAAGGGAAAATATAGAACCTTTACAAGTTGGTGAATCAAGGAAAGCCTAACTAATTAAAATCATCGATCGTGAGCCAATCATTCGACTCATCTTCTGAATCCTTACCTTTTAAACGTATAGCCTTCTTTCTGCCATCTCTAAGAGAACTTCCATGCAGCTGAACCCAGTCACTAGTAGCACCTTCAGGTGATAAACCCCTGATGTCCTGTGGCTCCCTACAGCTTGATAATTTATCGGAGCTATAACTCCCATCATCCTCTAGGTCACTGAATGAGACATCCTCTTCCTGTTGATGTTTTGTACAGGAAGCAAATGAACTAGCATCAACGTCCGTGTCTTCCAACCATTTTTCAGTAATAGCCGTGTCATCAACTTCTAAACCCTTCACTGCATTTGTAACCTCAGTCAAAACCTGGTTTTGCTCAAATGAGATACTTTCTTTTTCACTGTCCTCTCTAACCTCTTGATGTGAATCCACAGTCCCTGGCTTTTCACTTTCTTCAGCTTGCAAATTTTTCCTCTCTCCAAGTTTCTGGAGAAGCACATCTCTTGCTTCAACAAGCTACAGAAAAAAATAAACGGCAAAACATGTATGATACATATAGCAGTCATTTAGAGGATTGTTGTTGCTACCCAAACTTGTACAAAGAGTAAAAGGGATAATTATCTATGACTTATCTACAATCACATAATTTTTGGGTGCAATAAACCAAACAATCTGAAGAATTGTTTATAGAACCAAAAGATCTGGAGAGAATTTCATAAAATAAACGAAGACAAAATGCTAAAACTTCTGGCCAAGACATAATTTATCAAAAAGACACCCAGAACAAGATGAAACTGGCAGCAGTTATTGGTCTGCTATTCACTCATGTATCATACACAAAGCTGTATTATCAAATAGGGGGGAAGGGGGGAGAGAGACTAGATGATCTATTCAATTAAGCATATAGAATTAGGATAAAGTATAACTTGTATTAGTGTTCTGTATTCTCTTGGCTATAACAAATTTTAGCTACCGATAAGTACTACAGAAGTTCAGCATGCAATAACTAGCGGTTCTGTAATTCGCAAATAACATTGTTTCATAGTAGCATGCATGAATAAATTCACATAAAAACGCGTTCTGCATGGACTTAAATAAGGCTTGCCTTGGGGCTTGATAGGCACTCGTAATCATGCTGATTTAGTTTAGGAAGTATTAACAAAAAATAGATCATCCAAAACTTCTCCACGTTCATGTAACTGCATAGATTCAGTCTAAGTGCAACGAATTCAGGTACCAGCCGTTCTATAGCCAATGCATGTTCTCTCTGGGAATTGGACATGCTAAAATCTGCTGCAACAAGTTAAATGTCAGTATTAACGTCCACCAATCTCAATATAAGTATGCTATCTCAAAAATAAAATTCAAAAACCACTTTTATTCAAAGAACATTTGCTCGAGAACTATAAAAGAGATATTCTCAGCAGGACACAAGTAATTAGACTATGCAATGACTGAGAGTGTGAACTAGCATTAGTACAGCATTAATTTCTTCAAAATCCAAGATGCCAAAGGAGCACTTCAGTAGTTTTCATAGAACTCACCCCCAATGTAGTTCTAAGAGGTTAATTAAAATATTGGAAGTTAAGTAAAATGACACACAACTCGAATGACAGGCCTCGAATATCTGTTAAATAAACTATACTTTGTTATACAGCAGCAACAGCTTTATGGTAAACTTGGTTAGGTTACACCACACAAAATATGAAAACAAACAGAAGTTTAAATTGACACTAAAAAAGGACATAAGCTCATCTCATGCACCATCATTACCATGCAAAGCATAGCAGTTCAACATCTCTGGAAATCTAATCTTCTCTATTCCTAATCTATAAGGGACTTTCAACTGTGCTACATCCGAGACCAACTCATAGGATTTACACATATAAATAATAGAGACTAGAGACTTCTAGAGAAGTGTTTTTGTTGACATCCTGATGCTACTGAGCCTACCAATTGGGCTAAACATTGGCTGACATTTTTCAACAATAAATTTGAAATCCAAACATAAGCTAGCTTTTACTTCATACTCTAGAAGAGTGGCCACCGGCATTGATTGTTGTTGGTAGGATTTGATGTATCAGGCATTCCTACCAGTTTGGCAAGAGACAATAGTACCTTTCAGCAGAGCATCATAAACCACATATCCGTTACAATCTCAATATCCCTACTCAATTTACTTACTGAGGAATTCGTATTTATTGACGAAATCACATAAAACCCAATTTCATTTTTCTTTTGCGCACGATGCATGCATGAATAAACTCGTTTGTTACGAAAGCAATTATAAGCTTCAAAATGACCACCAGACTCATAAGATCTAGTCAATTATCCAGAAAGGCACCCACAAAAACTGCATGATTACACGATTAAATTACAAACTCTATCATAATCAGATTAGACGGACAATATTCAATTGAGAATACAAATAATCATGATCAAACCAAGTAATAAATAACATGTATAATTATCGAAGCGAACTTGAAGTACCGTTGTGGAGCGGCAAGGGAAATTCGGTCCAGCACTGAGGCCGCGCAGAAATCTCCTTCACTAAACGCACAACATCTTCCGTCGTTCCAGGCACCGCCTCGTCGTTGCTTCGTTGCTGATCAGGCTCCAACTGCAACAACTGAGAAGCGAACTTGGAGATTCCGGTGACAGCTTTGTTCGTGGAAATGAGCGAGAGAGAGTTCTTGAAGCTTCCGCCGATCTCCACGAGATCGTTCCGGATTCCGGTCAGAGCTTGCGAGGAGGAGGAGGAGGAAGAAGAGGAGGACGGCGGCGGAGCGAGGAAGTTGGCGACGCCGCGGAAAATATAAGATATGTCGTCCTTGACGCCGTGGCGATCGGCGGCTGGAAGCGGTGAGGGAGAGGAGTGGATAACGGTGCGGTAGTTGAGGTCGGAAGATTCTGCGCCAAGATTATTGGACTTGAAGAACCAAGACATTTTTTTTTTTTTTCTGCCGCTAAATTATGAAAGAAGGATAGGAGTAGCTTAGGATTCAAAGGAAGTAGTTGAGTTGAAATCAATTTGAAAGGGTTTCTTAAGAGAAAACATGATTACTGACATCACCAATATGAGGCTTCAAATTTGGCTAAACTTTCTGTTTTCTGTTTCATCTCCAGGTGAAAAATAAATTATTTAATTTGAAAAGATTCTCAGCCAAATTGAATTTAATTAAACTTCATTCATCAACCAGTTTTTAAATTAAATACATAAATTATATTATATTAAAATTCATAATTAAAATTACTAATACTTAATAAGTTATATAATATTCAAGATAAAAGTTAAATTCTTATATGATTAAAATTTATAATTAAAATATATTTTATTTACATTATAAATAAATTTTATAATAAATAAATATCTTAATATGTCAATTATATTTTTATTTGTGAGTAATAATTAATATTGCCATCTAAATTTTGAAAAATTTTATATATGTTTTAAATGCTAATATTAAAATTGCGTCCGTATGTAAACGTGATAAGAGTGGACTTCTACTTCACCTTATCGTGTACATAATCTACTTGTAACTATCCGTAATAAAATATACTAAATATATTATAAATCCGTTATTATTAATATATGAGATAATAACTTAATTATCTACTGGTTTCTTTCTAATTTAATATTTAATTATAATAAATATTCTTGACAATAATTAATATATCATTGTTTATATCTTAGAACGTTTCTTTATATTTTATTTGTTGCATAATTTATGTTTGTAGTTTTTCCTTCAAATAATCACAGTATCATACAAAACAACTTTCAATTAAAAAACTTGAAATATCTGGGTTAACAACCTATCATCTGAACACATTCATTAATTAAAATTTATTAAAAATTATAAATTTTAATAAATCTTACTCTATATTTAATTAGCCTTTTCTATAGTTTGTTAAAAATTTTAATAACAGTTAAACTTAAGGGTTTTGATATAATTATTTAACATGAATATGAATGGTTGGAGATTTGTTTTGATTATATCACCCAATTCCATGCATATCCGAAGGAAAAGCCTATTATTAAACTTGATAGTTGATTTTTCACGGTTGCAACAAACTGATTTTAATTAGGATCACCCAAACTTTATTTCAAAACAGAAGCATTTAAAATGTTAATATTCTTTATTTTATACGCTACTTTAAATAAGAGTTTTTTTAAAAAGTTTAAATATTTTTTGATCACGTTGGTATTACGATATTAATTAACCAATCTTTTTGGAAACTTGAAAACTGAACCCCGGTCATTTTGGTACTGCTTAGATAGGATTTTTTTTTTCAAATGTATAATAATTACATATTTTCTTTTGTATCTTTTCTATTTTATTTTGATATGTATTTTGTATTACTTTCTTCAAGTTGTAAAATGTATAACAATTACATATTTTCTTCACGTTATTAATAAATATATATATATATATATATATATATATATATATATATTTTAATAGAAACAAGGTTCTCATTTTGTTCTATCCACTAAATTCATCAAAATATTATGAATTACTCATTGAAATTTTATTGAGGTCTTAAATAAAATATTAATTATTTAAAATAATTTTATATTAAAATAATTAAAAGTCTTAAATAAAATATTAATTATTTAAAATAATTTTATATTAGAATAATTCATTCAACCGTGTTTAAACTTACACATAAAAAAAATTAATAAAATATTTTTCTAACATTTAATAAAATAAGATCAATATGTGAAATTATAAATTTATATTTTAAATTTTCAAACTAAGAGATGCTCTTATTAAAAATTCCTAATTATTTATATAATAAATATCTTATTATAATTTTAGTCTCAACGCTTAATTTAGATATTCCTCTTATAACGTTCTTACCTGTAAATTATAATATAAATTTATTTTATATTTATTATATTCAAATAAAAAAACATATTATAAAGGTTATAATTTTGTACGATTGATTTTTTTATTGTTTTTAAAAATAATTTTTAGTTTTAAAAATTTATTTGATTACTGTTTTATTAAAATAGTTTTTTTTTTAAGTTTCAAAAGTTAAAAAATATAAATTATCAATTGTTTTTCTATTTTTATTTACTAGCGAAATTGTGTGAGGTTTTTTTGCAATTTTCATCCAAAGGTTTTTTAATTATTGATGTCATTCTCTTCTTCTAAAATAATTTTTAAATTAAATTTATATATAAAAAATGTTTTAATAATTTTTAAAATTATTTATTTATTTTACAAACTACAAAATCAAATTAAATCAAATCATCCTTGATTTGATCTCTTGCTAAAGTAAAAAAAAATTCATTTTATGTTTGATAAAAAAATAGAACATTTAAATATTTCTTAAATTTTTTTCCAATCATATATATATATATATATATATTCTTATATATGTCAATTCCTTGTTTAATTTTTATGTTAAATTGAGGACAGAATCACACTTATTTGATATAACACTTGTATCTTAATGAATTTACTATATAGTAACTCCATTTTTTTACATCATCAGTAAATAGAAAAAATATATTTGTTCAAATATGATAACATTAATATTTAAGCCATCAATAAGTCCAATAGATGTTACACGATAGAATACTAAAACTATTGATTACATTAGTAGCTTTTATTATTAATAGAATGATGGGGAGAAGGAAAAACGAGTTAAGTTATATTAGATTATATTAATTAATGTAAATTAACCATTTTCTAAACTTAAGGCATCAACACATACTATTACTTAAGGAATGTGTCTGATTTAGTTTACTAAAAATAATGATATTTTTCAAAATTCTTTAACTTTCATAAAAAAAAACACTGATTATTTTTTCTAAAATGGTTATACCAGACACGAGCCTAATGATTTTAAAAGTTTGTCCAAACTTAAAAACTCAATTTATATGGTCTTTTCCACGGGCCAGCAATTTCATTAATAGTAATAAACCTTTAATGTAGTTTTAAGAATTGAGTTAATATTTTACTAAGATAATATGAAGGTATAAATATGATTTTTTTTCACAGAAGACATAAATATGTTTTAATGTATGTAAATATTTTTTTGTCTAATTATAGTTTTTTATAATTTTAAATTTTAAATTGTTAATATTTTCTTAATATTCTTTTTTAGTATGTACAAATAATATAATCAAGACAATTAAAATAATAAAGATATTTTAAATTACAATAACTAAATATTATAAGTGATGTAATTCAATTAAGTAATATATTTGTATATGTATAAGGTAGTTAGTTCCATACATTTATTCTTTTAGTTTCTAATACACTATTTACATTGGTTGCTATTCCTTTTAGTCTAATATTTGAATTCACTAATTCAATTTTAACGTTACATACTAAAAAAAAATTAACCAGATGCTTATATTATTTAAAATATTAGCTTTTATATTATTTTTACATTTCAATTCATGAATTTTAGTTAATTTTACATACAACTTTAACTTTTTTTCTCTAAACGTAAGTTGATAACTTGGTTTTGATATGACTTAATAAATAAGGTTAAGGTTAAACTAGGTTAGGCCTGTCAACAGTTAAGTCATACATAGGTATTTGAGCTTAAGGAGTAACTAACCATTCCATATTTTGATGTCTAAGAATAACTGTTAAAATAAGTAGCTAACTGATTTATTAAATTATAAGTTTTTAATAAAGTTTAAACAAAATGAAAAATAAAGTGCACAGCTTACGCTATTCGGTTAAGATATAACAAACTTGTATATCGTAAATTCTCCTTGAAAATGCTTGTTAAATAAAAAGTAAATGTTAATCTATCTTTAATTTAGAGATGTCTCGTAAGCTTAATTGAACATCAAATCAATGGTTGGTGAGGAGCAGCGTATCACAACAAATCTGAAAAGACCATTGATTAGTGTTTTTTTTCTTTTCAACTTTTGTCCACACATGACTTCCCCAAGGCTTGGAATATTAAGCACAAACATTAAATATAATATACCCATGGAGAAAAAAAATAAAAAAGAGTATAAATTAAATATTTATATAAACGTCTTACAGAATATATCATTGCATATGTGGCTATGAAGAAAAAAAAAATGTTCCTCACACCAAAATGATACATTTATTAGACTTGACATAATTTCATTAAACAAATTGTATAACAATAAAAAGCAAATAATGAATATACTGCCCAGCGTATACAGGAAATTGCAACTGAGAACAACATGGTCCAATATAGCAAGAAAAATTTTTCTGCTAGGATGTTGAAGTGATCAATCAGGAACAAAAGAAACTAAGCGGTTTGAATCAAAGCTCATTATCAATTACCTTGTACATAAAAAATCATATAATCAAAACCCTTCCTCTACTAATTATTCAAAAAGAATTTTCACTTTAGCTAACTACGCCACACACACAACGTATGATACAAGATTTTCATCTTTCCCAATCTCAGAACCGAAAGCTGAGAGTCATCAGAGTATCCATTTCTTTTCTTCCTTGAGCTTATTAAGGATTTTTTTTTTTTCTGCAGGAAATGCCTAGATGAGACCTGTATATGGATTGTATGATTGAACAGGCATACCTGAGCCATAGGGGTGAACAGTGGCTCCATAAGGATTTCCAAAAGGATTTACTGATTGTTGTTGAGGGGCCATCATCATCATTTGCTGCTGCTGCTGGTACATGAAAGCTTGCTGCTGGTTGGACATGGCAGCCATCTGAACAGAATGTGGAGCAGCCACTGCATTAGAGGCAAAAAATGGATCGTGCATCGTTGGTTGCCCTACATTTCCCACTGGTGCAGGCTCCCATGGATTATAGCTGACATTTTGGTTGTTTCTCCTGAGGGCATCATCGTAAAGGCTGTCTAGAGTAAGCTTGTCCAAACCTCCAGCCTGATACCAAGTAGGTCATCCATCACTCATATTCACAAAGAAAAAAAGATGTGTGCATGCAAAGAGTTTTTATTTTGTGTACGCTTATGCTAGAGTATCATTAAATGTAGAGAGACAGATTTGTTTTTGTGTTGAGCAGCCAATTCATAGTAGAAGAAAGCATACCAGTTTGCTAGCTGCCGTAGCATTCTCATTTGAACTAGGAGCAGTAACAAGTGCCAATTCCCATCCTGTAGTTCCATTTGCTGGATTTGACACAGCAGAAGGTTGTTGTTCAACATCTGCAAACCACCATCAACAAGACATCATATAAATTGACCCCAAGACATATGCCTACATGTATTCTAAATAGTAAAATGTCAAATGGAACATCCTAGTCTTAATTGCCAACATAGTGCAGGGAAAGGAAAACAATGTGGGGGTGCAACTCACATGACTAGACACTAGAATTAAGAGACTTAGTCCTAATAATTTGAAATATCACACTTCTTGAAATGAAAACCAGTTTAGTCCAATTCTGGGTCAATTATTACTGTCAATTCCTTTTTAAGGTTCGCGAGTGCTTTTATTCAATGTATCATTAATTAACCAAAATAGAAGGAAAGGAACAACAAATTACCAACAGGAACAATGGCTAGAGCCAATGCATTCTTCTCTTCCAATTCTAAAGCAGCTGGAACTGGATCCTCCAAATTCTAATTAGTAAGTAAGCAAAAGATGAGAAATTTTTTAGTGCAGCCAAAGCAACTTCTTGTAGATAAAGCAATACTAGTAGAACCAGTCAGCAATCTGAATTATACCAAAAACAGGGCTAGGGCGCACAAAAGAAAAAAATTAATTACCAACAGATCAGGTGGTGGTTGTACTGGTGGTGTTTCCACTTTCACAGGTTCAGAAGGAGGAGGTGAGGGTGGACGTTCCTCTTGCACTTCTGTTGTCTTTTTGTATTCAACAGCTAAAACTTCCTTGTTTTCAATAGCCTGCAATCAATTAGTATGGAACCACTGATTGGTAAAATATATCTATATGGCCCAGATAATGCTGCATTTCATTTTAGTGAGTGGAAGAAACATTTTGAAAGGATTGCACAACACTTAACTTCCTGAAACCAATGAAAGGAGAAAAATTATGTTGATGACAAACACATTAAGATAAAATACTAATATTATTGTTTCTACAAATATATGAAATTCATTGCTGAAAGACAAAAAAGTATTGTACAAAAAATAGTGCATGTTAAACATGGAATGTTTCTTAAGGTAATGGAAAAATTTCAAAATGTATTGTTGGGCCGAATAATATAAGTTCTAAAAGAACAAGCAAAATGAATTAAATTTGAATTTTCAGGATATACCTACTTGCCAGATTGCAACAATGGTTGAACCACTTCTCTTAAAAGAAAATGCAATTTTTAGAAACAAATATATATATCATTGTTCTTAACTAGTAGATAGCCAACAGGGTCTTCCCTGGTGCCTTTTGTGCCTTCTGTGTCAACTAGATGTATATTAAATAGTACATTTGCTCTTCATGATTGCTTCCTTAACAAAAAGCCACAGAGACCACAATAGCATAAACCAGAGTTATTCAAGTTTATCCATACCTGATCCTTGCGAACTATTGGTCCCTGGGGCGCGTCTTTAACATACTCTTCCATTGCTTGCAGAAATGATGAAGGGGGCTTCATATCATCAACCAATAAACTTAGTATATGTTTCCCAAAAGAACTATTTAAAAATCAAGCTAAAATGTCAGACTCAGACACAAACAAACCAACCTGCTCAACTTTAATGAACTTCTCTCCACGTCCAATATCAAGATTTCGGCATATTTCATAAAACTCTGACAGTCTCTCGGCCTGGATTTGTATAAATAATATTTAGTATATCTGTATAGATAAAGTTAAAAAAAAAAAAATTACACCATAAGAGATACCTGCTGCCCAACCCTCCTGTATATATCAAGAGCTTTCAGAGCATCATGGCGTTGCATCTCAAAAAACTGTTACAATAGTCTCATAAATACATAACAAGTTGAACATCAAGCTTCGAATCCATGAATATAATAGCCATATATACCTTGTCAACCATATTGACTGTGCCATCACTAATAGCTTGATAAATTTTAATGCTTTCTGAAGCAACCTATATGCAATATAAAGTACGTTCATAAAGGTGCAGAGAAAAAACTACTAAAGAATATAGTATGGTTATATAATTGACCTACCATTGAGAGCGCTAACTGAATGACAAAGTTATTTACAGCTGCCCCGTGTGGCTGCACCACATACAGATTAAAACAATTTGAACAATTATTATGTTGCCCAGTGTTGTAAAATTGTTCATTCAATCAAACCCACTCCACATGTGAAGTGTTTGGGTAAAAATTCCATGTATCTTGAACTATTTGAATCAAAAGCTTACCTGGCAACCAATAACTCGATTGAGAAGTTGTTGTAAAGCTGGCAACTGCTCTAATAGTTCTGCAGTATCCAAATCTTTGGTCCTCTGACAAAATTCACAAATGAAGTTTTCTAATTTAGATATATGAATGTAATGAGATATAAGTGAAAAGTGAGGGCCTTCTACCATCATATTATTACAAAATAATATCCATTAATAAATAATATGCAGATAATTCAACTACTCTTTTGAAGTGAAAAATCTGAGTTCTACAACAGTAAGTTTATGAAAAGAAAAATTACTTACAGGGCGGTCTGCCTCAATGTCATACTTCAACACACGAAAACATTCCAGCCTTTCCTCCAAAAATAATGCATAAGTGCGGACCCATGCAGAATAATCCCATGCTGTGCAATAACACAATGATTGATATCTACAAAGTCAATAAACATAATAATGGAAATGAAAATAAAATCAACAATGGAGAGAAAAACTTTGGCACCATTTGGACTGGAATCATCTTTAAAATGAGCCATATTGAGCATATGACTTCTACTTCTCCCATAATTAATGAGTTCTTCATGAAATGTAGGATCCACTTCCCTTAGAGCACGGTGAATAACAGTTAAAGTTTTCAATGCAACCTAAAGTTAAAACACTTGTCAATCAATCAAATATAAGCAAAATAAAAACACACATGCTCAGTGATGATTTACATGACAAGAACAGAAATCGCAAAGACCACTGAAGAATTAGCTGAGAATTGCAGAAGTCGTCATCCAAATATAGTGCACACAAATATTGTAGCTTCAGATCTAGATGAAATGATCTTGTTTTTGCAACAATGCTGATAGTCATTAAACACATTCTTGGAGAACTTCCGTCAACATTTGCTATCTTGGTATTGTTCTTTGTACTACTTTTATATGCCCATAAGGTCACATGTGAAAATCATACCACAACTTCCGGAAGTGAGGGACACAATAATTCACGAATATGACTCATGAAAGTAATGTATAACAAATAAAGACAAAAAAAGAAAATAAAGATAAAGACAAGATATTCCGGACAATGAGGTAATGATTTGTGAGTGAATAAGACCTACATCCCTTTCAGCAAATCATACAGTAATATATACAGCAGAGAAGTTCTGGAATCTTCTGTAACAGAAAATGTTTACATGGGGAGATATTTAGCTAGAATGGTCTCATTGGGCTATATGAAAACAATTGGACTGTATTGGTTTGTGCTATTATTTTGTTAGCCTCCTTGAAGCCGGTATAAAGATCAATCAATTCCAGCTTGGATACGCTTAGACTTGAAGAGACGAGGTGGTAATGTTTTCCTCCAGGGTGACTTGTTGGAAGAGGTTTATATGTCAATTCCTCAAGGCTTTGGGCTATTATTCTGTTACAATGCTTAATTTCAACAACCTTGGCAACGAAAGAATAAAAACAACAGATAATAAATTTATAAAAGCTTCATCACACATTCCCAGTCTTTGGGTGAATATCCTGACAAGATTTCATGTCCATATGAAAAATTCAGCCATATTTATCACAAGAACTAAGACATGGTGAACATACTGCCCAGTTATGTGTCTTTGATAATCGCCGAGCAAGTGCGTGGATGCAATAGGCAACATCAGCTCTAGGTCTTGTAGCTGAGATAGCTGCAAATATAGCTACAAAATAGAGTATAGAAACAATAAGAATCAAAACATTAACTTGTCCAACAATTATTCCTCCTACAATCCACAAAAATGACATAAACATAAAATAAACAGTAGATTCACCACACTAATTCATTCTTGTGCAATGAATCATAAGAAGGAAAAAAAAAAAAAAACCTCTTATATGCTTTTCCTTTGCCGGACGTTCAACATGATTTGTGGCTCTAACTATAGAAATGTCCAATTCCTGGAACATAATAAAATCATTGAGAACAAACACACAAAATCTGATCCAGAGATCGCATCCAACAGAATCTATGTCCAAATAAGTATACCTTGTAATCACTGTTGACCTTAGCCAATGAGACTGTTGTAGTGTCCTTAAGTGCCCCGAGTGCCTTTCTCAGACTCTTCTGCGTGCCACCCGACATCTCTCCCTCACTCAACTACAAAATTCAGCCAAAATTAAGAAAAAAATAAATAATAAGATCTCATCATCCATTCATTCAAAAACCAACTAATCTGGAACCAAACAAACACAGTTCTTCAATAATTAAATAATCGAGTGTAAACAATGAATATCTCTTAAAATTAACTTGACAACGTAGATGTTATATTACTGCACTCAGATCCAGCTAAGGACACAACCCTCACCGACAACAAAACAACCCCAAAGTTCTGAATAACATCGACTAAACAGACAATTACCGAAAAAGATTCAAAATTAAACAAGGCAAATGAAGAAGAACGGAGACATAACAGCCAAACACGACCTTACAGTTATTTAAAAATTATTAAAAAAAAAAAGTAAGGCATTCTTGTGAAAAAGGTGGGCTCACAGAATTTTGTAACAAACGAATCGAATAAATTGAAGAAGAAGAAGAAGAAGAAGAACCGCAGCTAGAGAAGTGGCTTCTTCCGCACAAAAGCAAAAAAACGATCTACGGTTAGAACTAGATTTCGCTGAAGCTGGAGAAGCTGAATCAGAGACAGAGAGAGAGAGAAACTAACGTGTGTTCCTCAGACCAGAGAGAGAGAAAAGTCGACAGACAATATAGGCTTGGTTTGGTTGGTCGTCGGCGTCTGATGTTATTTTTAATTATATTATTATTATTATTATTATATTATACTGTTTTTTATTTTATTATTGTTGGTGTTTTGGAACAAATAAAAAGAAGAAAGCCCAAAAAAAATAATTAAGGATTAGCATTTTGCTTCGGCTTAGTCTTGGTGTCAGAAAATATACGGTATTGTTAGAAGTTGTACTGCTCAGTGGTTAAATTGGGATTTGATCCTCTGCTTTTGTCTCTACCGTCTCCATTCTTGGTCTCTTCTGCCACCTCACCGCTTTCAGCCCCACTGTTTCACGCGTTTTTTTTTTTTTTACCCTTCAAGATTCTTAGACCGTATTATATTAAATAGAATGAGTTAACTATTTAATTTACTAACTAAATTAGAAAATAGATAGTTTGATTATTTTATTAACTCTTAAACAATTCCTTCTGTATATAAATGAAGCAAAAGTATTATCATGATTCCATTCGAACATTATTCTTAGGAAAAAAACATAAATGAGCTGTTTGGTATTAAAAAAAGAAAGAAAAAAGAATGATGATATTTAGGTGGGTTGTGTTTCTGTGCTGGATTTAGTTGAGTTGTTTGATTCAGAAAAAAAAAAAAAAGAGAGTAAAACTAATTGTTAGATTTGTTTTATTGTTTTTAATAAAATATGTTTAACTTGTTCTTAATTTCTCATCCATTCGTTCATATTCTCTCTTTTCCACCAAAGGAGCATGAAATTTGAGAGGATGGACCTGGCAACGAGGTTTCAAGTGGTAGAGATGGTTCTATAGTTTGGATCAAACCAGACAGCAATTTTATTAATTATTGGTTTTTAAAACAAAATTTGACATATGGTTGAAGCTACTTGATTTTAGGTTTTTCTTTCACTGTTTTAGCTACTTGATTTTAGAATTTTTTTCTTTCACTATTTTTAGACACTTCTTGACTTTTTTTTAATTGAAAAAATATTGATATTATAATTTAAATTTTATAAAAGTTGAAATGTAAAAAAAAAAAAAAAAAAAATCCGTGAGCGGCAGGATTCGAACCTGCGCGGGCAGAGCCCACATGATTTCTAGTCATGCCCGATAACCACTCCGGCACGCCCACTTGACACGTTCATTTAATAAAAGTTTTTATAAATTATATATATTTATTACAATAATTTAAAATCTATTTTATCTTTTAAAAGATTATTATTATTATTATTTATTTAGCCGGTAATTATTATTTGTAAAAAATATAAATTTTACTTAAATATTTAAATCAAAATTCACTCAAAATAATAAGATAACGTTACAATTTACAATTTCAGAATTTCCTTTGATGGATTACGCTTTTTCTTTTAGATGGTCACAGTTTATAGAAATGTGTCTCTAATACGTAATGGACCAAAGAAATGTTGGTGATAGAGACAGAATTCCTTTAACGATTAGGCCGTAATTCAATGACTTGTGATTTTCTACTAATAATTGCGTACATTTTAAAATATTTTAGATAAATTTTGAGGAATATATATTGAATAAAATTGAATTTGTTGTTTATTTTTCATGGTTGTTGTTGGCTGTAATGTAAGTCTGAGTCATCCATCCCTTAATTGGCGATAACAAGGCCAAAGCTTTTGTAGTGATGATGGGAATTAAAGAATAGCGACCATGACAGTGACAAAGAGGGTGCATGAAAATAGTGATCAAAGAATGCTAGCTAGCAAAGACAATGATTGGAAGATGGTGGTCACAATTATAATCAGATAAAACCAAATAACCATGGATAAAAAAATCAAACTAGCAACAACTATGATTAGATAATTCTGCCAGCATTCATAGGTCAATAGCTTGGGAATATGAATGCATGCATGCATGCATGCAACAAAAAGCATGAATGAAAGAAAAATGAATCGCAAAAAGCTGATGATGACTTGAACTGATAAAGGGTATCAGATCTATATATATTAAGGTTGAATCTGATTAGGCAAAAGCAAATGCTTCTCTTAATTGGAAAGGAACTGAAGATGGTGTGCAAGTACAGATTATGGGGTTGATTTGATAAAACCTGCTAACCAACTATGCCCACATGTGACAACCAACCTCCAATTATGGGGACATTTAAACTCATTTTTTATGGCAGGGGACTGAGAATATGGTTGATGAGGTGCAACCGTGCAAGCATGGAGTTGAATTGTTGATAGGGACTTTGACGTACAGATTCTGGCAATGGCAACTTAATTAATTGCCTTTTTCCTCGTGACGTAAAGGACTGCATCAGTCTTAACCTTGCTTTTGACTCCTGTTTCAGAAACTTGGTATTTGAAGGTAATTACCACGCTTCATTCACGTCACGTTGATTGATTAATTAGTATTTCAGGTGTTGAAATCTTCAAAACTATTTTCTGTTCATGATTTATATATATTAAAACGTTGAAATTCAATTAAGCCACTTAGGACCTTTGGCTCTGGCCATTTGGAGCATACATAGGGTTGGGTTGACTTAACACAAACACAAATTTGCAAGACCAAACACAAAACCTACGTCTTTCGTTTTTATGTTTCATCATGTGTCGGGCACATCAAACAAACTTAAGAGCGTGAAAGATTAAGATTTTGTTTAAAGTCTGCGTCAATACTAAATTCATTCGTTGGTTTCTCAAAACCAAACCCATTTTTTATTTCACGTCAACGCTTTTGTCTCATCTCATGATCAAACACTTCTTTTCTTGGGTCGGTGTTTTCTGAAAAAAACAAGGTATTTTTTTTCAACCATTTTTGTGTGTGGTTCCAGTATAGTTTTATTTTGTGTGATCAAGATACAACGCGATAATAACTATTTTATTTATTTATTTCATAAATATTAAATTTATAGAAATTGTAATTCGATGTGGTAACAGAGCAGAGACTGTAATTTAATCTGAATTTAGATTCAATTGTTTCTATTATACTGTATCTACATTTTGTGTAATGAAAATTATAAAAAATAACAATAAAAAGGAAAAAAGAATTAAAAGAACCTAATTGAATAAAAAATAGATAGACAACAAAATTAAATGAACAGAAAAAAAAATAAAAATTGGAAGCACTAATTTTTACCATAAACAGTAAGACGTGTAAAATAAGCTGTCGTTGTTTTCTATACTGTAAGCCAATACTAATTAAACAAAAATAGTTATATAAATTGACATATGTGTAACTTAAAATAAGTATCCTTGATTAACACATAATCATTGTTTTTATAGAGATTTTCATAATTATATAGTATATATTATTATTTTTACATAGATTTACATAATAGTTATATATAAATAATATAATATATATAAAGAAAGAGAAAAGTAATATATTTAAAGAAAAAAATTAGAGGTTAATTTTCTATTTTAGTAATTTAATATTTTAAATAATTTTAATAATTAAATTAGAAAATAATATATATATATATATATATATATATAATTTTTATTCTTAGAAAAATCATTCATTATATATGTATAAAAGAATTGATACATGCATCATTATTCTTAAGTAAATTATTTTGGACAAAAATGAAAGCTGAAGCCGCATTTTAAAAAAGAAAAAAGTTATATAGGCACACTTTTTTAAAATAGCAACCTTTTTGTTTTCGCTATCAAAATGAGACTTTGAAATCACGTTCTTTAAAAAAAAAATAAAAAAATAAACCCGAAAAATAAAACTGTAGCTACCTACAGCTTTTGCATTCAGCATGGGTTTGTTTGAACTGATTTACTATTCACGAAGACAGAAATGAGAGATTCAATTCGTTTGTTGCAAGTGATTTGAGAGGATTTGCAGGCGCGGATTTGAGGGAGAGGGGAGAAAAGCTCACCCTGAAGATTTGAGAGGATAGCAGAGAAAGACACATCAAATAATAAATGACCAACTTACTCTTCTCCATATGATAGCGGTTAAATCTTAACCGCTATCTAATATATATTTTAGATAGCGGTTAAACCAAAACCGCTATCTAATATATATTTTAGATAGCGGTTAAACCATAACCGCTATCTAATATATTTTACATAGCGGTTACAGAGGAACCGCTATTATATCCTCCAATTATGATCGATCATTTCGAAAATCTAATCGATCAGAATAAAATTTCGCTCGAGCGAGATATAGTCGCTCAAGCGAAACACAACCCGAGACTCAAGAATGGTTGTATATAGGGAGCTTATAATAGCGGTTAAACCTTAACCGCTATCTAATATACACTTTAGATAGCGGTTACAGAGGAACCGCTATTATATCCTCCAATTATGATCGATCATTTCAAATTATGATCGATCAGGATCTTGTTTCGCTCGAGCGAGAGTAGTATCGCTCGAGCGAATTATAACCCGAGACTGAATCTTAAAATATTTTTTTGAATATTATGTTTTTTAATTTGCTATTAGAGAAAACCTTTCAGAATTAAAAATGTTAAATACTTTTAAATATTAAAATTAACTTTATCAAAAATGAAGAAAACAAAATTTATCCAAAAGAGTTCAAAAATGTATAAGAGTATTCTCAATTTTGAGTTTAATTATATTGTTCATTCTCAAAGTAGAAATTTATATTGTAATTATTTTAATTTACATTTTGTGATCTTCTTAAAATTAGCATCAATAACATTAGACTTTACATTTGATTCATACCTAACTAATTATAGATTAAAAGGAAAGTGATATAACCATGCATTTTACTTTTCTATTTACCTTATTCTTTTAATTATTTTATATAATAATAATCAAAATATTCACATTCATATGGGCATTTTCGAAAATAATATTATTGTATTATTGTTAAAATTAGCATCAATAACATTACACTTGATCTTCTTAATTATATTGTTCATTCTCGAGTAGAAAATTATATTGTAATTATGTTCAATTTATTAAAAGTGTAATTAAATCTCTATTTTCTTAATTTTTTTTGTTTCAAACTTCTCAATTCTACATTTTTGTAACTTCTATCATTATATTATCATCCTCATCTCCTCCCATGTTCTACTTTATCTTTACAATAGTTAATATTCTTAAATAATCTATATTTTTAATTATAATTTTTTAATATATATTTTGAAATTAATCAATTCTAAGCTATTATTTGAAAAACTAATCAATTCTAATCAATAATTTAGAAAAATAATCGATTAGAATTAATTATTTGAAAAAATTATCAAATATGATCGATCATTTCGAAAATCTAATCGATCAGAATAAAATTTCGCTCGAGCGAGATATAGTCGCTCAAGTGAAACACAACCCGAGACTCAAGAAAGGTTGTATATAGGGAGCTTATAATAGCGGTTAAACCTTAACCGCTATCTAATATACACTTTAGATAGCGGTTACATAGGAACCGCTATTATATCCTCCAATTATGACAGATCATTTTAAATTATGATCGATCAGGATCTTATTTCGCTCGAGCGAGAGTAGTATCGCTCGAGCGAAATACAACCCGAGACCGAATCTTAAAATATTTTTTTGAATATTATGTTTTTTAATTTGCTATTAGAGAAAACCTTTCGGAATTCAAAATGTTAAATAATTTTAAATATTAAAATTAACTTTATCAAAAATTAGGGAAACAAAATTTATCCAAAAGAGTTCAAAATGTATAAGAGTATTCTCAATTAATTAAAGTGTAAGTGATTGAATGATCTGAACTGGAAGACTTGATCGCAAAAGATGAATAACATTATAATTATTTGTTTGAAGAGCATTAGTGTGCATAGGTTTATAATTTTAGTAATGTTTCATTTAATTATTATTTTATTTTCATTGTATTTTATATTTGTTTTAAATAATAATGTACAATTATATTATTAGTTTTCATAATTATTTGTTATTATCAGATCAATATTAATTATTATTTTATATTTTATAATTATTTAATTATTAGTCAAATAATTTATTTAATATGTCAACATTATTTGAATATGGATATGCAATGTACATAATTTTGTAATTGTTTATTTATATAATTTTTAATAATTATCTAAAAAAGTTAATTTTGTAAATTTGTTTCCAATTACAAACACTTTTAAATTTGTTTTTTCTTTTAACTATATAATCAATGTTAAAATATGAATAATTAATTAAAAAATTATATTTATAATCATTTGAACCTTATTTTATACAAAGGGTAAAATGATAATTTTCTTAAATAATCAATTAAAATTATAATTTTTATATCTCATATCAATCAAATCATTCATAATTTCCCATAAACTTTCCTTCCACTTTCCATTCTTCCAAACAACTTTAATTTCATCTTCATTTCTCTTCAAATCCCTCCTTTTCCACTCTCTCATTTTCACTCTCTAAAATCACTCCAACCAAACAAAACATTAATCAAAAGTGGCTCGGCAATACATAAACTTTTTAAATCAGAAATCATTCTTTCTGAACAATTAATATTAATCATCTAATTTTACATAAGCGACAAATTAAAAATTAGATAAAAATTACATGGTCAATTAAAAAATAACATAAATATTCGATTAATATGCTCACTCTCAATAACATTTTTGAATACAAAACTATAACAAAAGTAACTTTTTATGTTATGGTACTAGCTTTATTAAGTTGAATAGAATATAATCTCAATTTAAAATTTAAGTAAAATTAAAAGTATTATTTTAAAATGAATTGAATTTGTAGGATATGTTATCACTTCAACTTGCCACTTATGGAAGAAGGAATATTAATATACCCGACTAGTTTGTGTTTGTATGTATACTTATTAAGTTATTCCTTTGAACTTAATTGACTTATGATTTGGGAACATCCAAACAACCCCTATGTTCTGTTAATCGACAATTACACGCATCCACACACATAATTCATGAACGTCACACTCACATGCCATATTTAAGATTGGAACTATCTCTCACAGATTACGATGAAAATATTTCTCATAGACTATGACGGAAATACCCCTCACAAATATTTTATTAAATTTACCAAAAGTAATTTTGAAAAAAAAATGGAAACAATAGATGATTTTATAAATATATTTCTTTATTTTTCATTTTTGTTTACTCAATGTTTTTTAATTAATATTTTGTAAAACTAAAATACCTTCCAACACAATAAAAAATATGAGGGTGGAAATAAAATAAGTAAAAAAAAAGTGAAATAATATAAAAATTGGGAAATTATTTACTTATACAAATGCACTAGTTCATCTTAGATAAATAATAAATGTAATAAATACCTAAATCTAACATAATCCCAATTCAACTAGAGGACAACAAATAACAACGGTAAAATATAAATCTAAAGGGAATGGTAATCTTTATTAAATTTTATAATAAAATAGTTAACAAGTTTTGAAAGGATAATAATTTTTAATATGAAAATTATATTTTGTATACTCATAAGAAATAAAAATATTGAGACCCACTATCATTTTAAAATCTTTCTTTTGATTTTTCTCTAATCAAAATATAAATTCTTTCGCTTCCTCAAATTTTGATTTCTTTCTCATTTATTATTATTTGAACATAGTTTGATATGAATTATTAACACCTAAGAACAGATACTAATGCTAATTACAAAAATAAATGCTATCCGAGTACTTATACACGTCACACTGTAATAAAACCTATCATTATATACACCTATCGTTTTAACTTTATTTTGATCATGCTATTGTTTCTATGAAATCTTTTCACATTAACATACATGATTTAAATTTATATAACTAAATTATAATTTTGTTTAGATCAATTATCTTAAAGAATAAAGAATAAAAGTTATAAATTTATTTTCCATTTTTATTATTATTTTTTATAGTTTGATAATCTAAAATAAGTGTAAGAGTAAATAAATAATATATATATATTTAAAGTTTTTTTTTTTTCAAAACTCCCTTTGAAAAACTTGTACAAATACATCGAGATGATATGATATAATTTGAAAACAGTTATCAATGAACATAATTTTTTCTTCTTAAAATCTGAATTAAAAGCAAATAAACAGTGTGTTCGTGTTAGAGGAAGTGGAGTGGGTGGGATGTGCAACTAAAATGGGTTGTTCACGCCACGCGTCCATGACAGTGAAATTAACCAAACTACCTTCTAAACCTGGTTCCTGTCAATTCAAACCTTCTTCATATTTTATATATATTTGGTGTCACATTTGTCGTCTTTAGTTGTTTTACTCCATAATATTGTTTTATCAAATGATCATATCAGTGTTTTGGTTTGGGAAATAAATGAAGCATCTTAATTTTTTTTTAATCACTCAATGTCAAGAAAAATAAAGGTTTCGTTTTTTTTTTCACAAAATTTCAGGTTCCGTATCATTTTCTATTCCAGCATTTTCCTGATTTTGTAAGGTAAATGTTAAGAGATTTTAACTTATATACCGTCTATTATCCCAACATTCTTTAGAAAAACTTCTTTCAACCTAATTAAAATAGTTAACGGGGAAATTTTATTTTATTTTCTTTTATAATTTTCTTATAAGTGCTTATATATAAAATTATCAAAAAGAGTCCAAGTTTTCCTCTGAATAATAGGATAAATGCTGTTTTTTTTTAACAATTGACATTGATTGGGAAAAAAATATGTAATTCTTGTGATATGTTTACGAGGGACGAAGTATTATGATATACGTCACTATGATTTTATAATGCTACATAGACAAAAAAAAATTCTTAAGTGTTATGAATACATTTTCAACACATTATTCTTATTACACCCTCTCTTATTAATTAAATTTTATTGATAGCTACGTAATCAAAAGAAAGTTATTAAACAAATAAAGTTAATACCACCACTAACTACTCCAAATAGAGATTAATATCTCTTAAACAATAACCTCTTTCTTCAGTTCAAGTCCAAACCTTGTAAATGAAGAACATACGCTTGAGCGAATTGTCTCCTTAACTCAATGGAACTTCCGAATACGGGGTCTCAAAAAATCTCAACATAATACGTTGATAGAACATTATTCAGAGTAAAGCACGTAGAAAGAATTGCCATTTCAAATTTTAAACAAGGTGCCCTCGAGTGTAAGTCCTTTAAAAATATGCTCTCTTTTCTGCTTTCTGAGTGCAGCCATATAAGGAAAATTTCCATAAATATTTTTTATTTCTTTTTCATAAAAAAAATTACAATTTCAATCTAATATGTGACCACAAAATTGTTTGAATATACTACTGTTACACCTGCCAATGGCACAACTCATTTGCTCCTAACCTATAACATGTTTCAAAATTGGTTGAATCAATCAACAATCAGGATCTCTTCACAATAGCGGTTGCATAAAAAGGATGATGACAGAATGAAAAAGAAATCTTCAACTTTGGGTCAAGGGCTCCTGCCCTGCAAACATTCAAAGCAATGCTGTTGCGTTCTGCTACTTGCTCTATTCTGCGCAGCTCAGCCATTGTGTCAGGGTCGTTGGCAAAACTACTTTTCAACTCTTTTGCTATCCTCTGAGCTTCCTTGAAGTAATCACATATAGCTAGGGTCTGAAGGAGAAACTAACAAATAAAAAACCCATATCTAAGAACAGTGATTACCATTAATTTTCAAGCGAATACTCACAGAGAAGTTAGCACGGACGGTTGACTCCTTGAAAGTCGCATATGAGATGTGATCGGGAACGCAAGCTCTCTGTAAAAGCTCGAATTGCTGAATAAATATCTGGAAAAAAGATGTACGTTTATTAAGTTGCAAATGGGAAATTTGATTCATAAAGTACGCACTTATATTCTGCCCATCGTTATGGACTTGGGAGGGGTAACCGTGCACGACATATTATTACTGTGAAGTATCAACAAAGATTCAGTTAACTGAATATCCTTGGATCTTATAGAGGTAGAAAAATTTACTTGAATACCTCAAAGAAGCCTCTTCTTATGCAGTTTAAACAATTTTGAATTATATTTTGACAAATACATGCAAGTATTCAGGCAAAAGAATAATAATTTTAACAATTAATTATCCATAAGATATATTTGTTTGTCTGATCCACAGCCATGAAATGGTGGGTATTATGAAACCATAATATAGTACAGGATGTGTGGTACGAGTCTTTGCTGGTTCTAAAGACTAAGATTTAGGACCCGTTTGAAAACTAAATCCAACACTGGTAATGAAAAGATTCATCATTGAAATTTAGTGAGGTTAGATTACATATCGAAGTTGGATTTAGTGAAAATTTTCTGAAAAAATAAATCAAACATGACAAGTTTGGCACTTCGTTTTTAAAGACAAAAAACTCAACGCTAAGTTTCAGTTTTCACCAAAGACACGATGTTTTCATACACTTGAAATTTGTATATGGAGAAACAGAAAACCTTACCTCATGTTCTGTATTAAAAGGGCTTTGCAGCGGAGCTATTCTGTGCTCATTTCTCAAAGCAGCGAACATCTAGAAAAATAATTGGATTGCTGGAGAATGTAAGTCTACGAATTGGACCAAATAAGAAGTAAAATACACTGTTTAAGTAAATTATCTAGTCAAATACAGCCATGTCAATTTGGGAAATAGGGTTCTCAGTTTTCACATACAGACTACAAAATTCTAGATCCAACAGATCAGGTTGGAAAATTTCAAGCCACTATTGTCTTTGTCTCACATCTCCATTCCTAGGTGAAATAATGCAAGACATGACCATTGACAAAATATATACAAAATTACCATGCTTAGCCCCTCAGCTAGATATATTTGGCTTTGAAGATACAAAACAGGTGGAGAGATCTGATAATCCATTTCCCCATCCTTAAAAGAATCCCTTCTCTTCTTTGTCTTTTTCTTAGCTGGTCAACAGGACACAAGTACGTATTGAAGTCGGAGTCAGTATAAGCTTATTTTTTCTTCTAATAACCAAATGCAAATAAAAACTCTTAATCATTCTACTGTTGAAGTCATTAAACTGTTGGCAAACATAAAGCACAGTATTCCCTCTTCTCACATGTAAATCACTTTTCGAAATAGAAAATGTTGAAGAATTACAGTTGCATACCAGATTCACCACTCAATGACATCCGGAGATGTTTCTTTTCCGCGAGCTTGATCAACACAACATAAAAATACCAGTATACCATGCAATAATCATGGACAGAGTAGAGTTCCAGTTCAAATCCCAAATTGAGAAATCGAAAAGCTATCCAATAAGTTTGCTCTTCTACCCATGCGAGAATATGTTGATATATTTTGAAACATATTTTCTGCTAAACAGAGCAATATTATAAATTAACAGATGAATTGTAGTTTAATGATAACAGCTAATAGACAGTCAACCAATTTATGCCCATGAAAAGTATGTGTACTGTAATGCCACGAGAAAATTCACATCGATGTAAGTGACAGGTAAGCTAACTAGCAACAGACCTTATTGTTCGAAGATTTTGAGGCTTCTTCAAACTCTCCTTTAAAAGCCATCTCCAGCTGCAGAGTAATGCAAGATTAAATTAAGATTACCTTTAGATGAAGTTCCCAGAAGTTATAAAATATAAATATTTGCATTAGCTATAGAAGCTGAATCCTACACCAACTGCTGGGATATCTTGAGCATTTAATCTCTTCCCCTATACCAAATTTCTATTGTATTCTTTTGCAATTTCTACTTGCTTGGAGTTTTTTAGAGGATGGGGGTGTCATAAACTATAAGTATTAAAAATAACCATAGAAGTTGAATCTTACACCAAATTTCTATTGTATTCTTTTGCATTTTCTATTCTTTTGGTTTTTTCGGAGGATGGGGGTGTCATAAAATATAAGTATTTGCATTAACCATAGAAGTTGAATCTTATGCTAACCTGCTGGGATATCTTGACCATTTCATTTCTTCCCCTAAACCAAATTTGTATGTATTCTTTAAATTTTATACATTTTTTTGTGTTTTTAAGAGGAGGATGGGGATATTTTCTGCTGTCAAATAAGAAAAATGAACACTAGTAACTCAAAAAATTCACACAACCCCCAAAAGAAAAGTTTTACTAGGGATGACAATTAAACTCGTACCCACGGGACCAATCCGTCCCTGTCCCGAGTCTAACGAGGAAAAACCAAGTTGACCATGGGCGGGGGTGGATTTTTCCCGCTTCAAAAAGTCAAGACGGAGAAGGATAATACAATCCTCACCCGTCTCTACCCTCATTTTATATTTAAATTTAAATTATTAATATTTTAAAAGTATTTCTTTTTCTTTCTCCATTATATATAAGGTTATTTTTTTTATATTTCACCATTTTTACTTTTCTTCCACCCACTTTTTCCTTCTTTTACCTTTTTTAATCTTTTATATCAATAAGTTTATTACATTATTATATTTCTCCTACCTTTCACTTATTCACATCACCTTAAAGTTAATTTTTCTCTTCTTTATCTTTTTCTAAATATTTTACATAAATATTAGTAGTAACTAATATTATTTTATTTATAATTTATCTTTATTAAGTTTTATTATGTCATATTTTATGAATTTTATTATTCTTATTTATCATCTATCAAATTTTATCTTAATAAAATAATTGTATTTTAAATAATTAAAATGAATTGATAATTAAAACTTTTATTATTTTGAACTAATTAAATAAGAATTAACTTATCAAATATTTTCTTATAAATTATATATTTCATAGTTTTAAATGGCAACTTAAAAAAGAATTAAGTTATATATATAATCAAATATTTAAATACAATATTATATTAATAATAATAATAATATAAGTTTTTTATATCTGTATAAAGAAAAAATGATTAAGTATTTCTTTTACATACATATTTAAATATAAATAGAATAAATTAAAATATATATTTAATTAATAATAATAATAATAATAAATTGTAAAATTATAAATATTTATTTATGTGTAAAAGATACATAAAAAATATTAAAATTAATTTATTATAAATATAATTATTATTTTAGAAATAATGCATATCGGGAACGAGACGGGGAAATTGAAAACGGGATAGAGACTTAATTTTTAACCGGACGGGATTTGGGTGCGGTTAAAAAAGTTGAGGGCAAGGGTCGAGGAGGCAAAACTCGCCCCGGCCCGTTGCCATACTTAAGTTTCACTCAGAGTAAAATAATGACATGAAGAAAAATCTCAAAATTGTAATGTCAATCACTTATACCAAAGAAGATTATAAAGCAACCAGGAAAACCTTCATAAAATAAAGAAAATAACGCATGTTAAATGAATCTGAGTGTACAAAAATTGAGTGCAACTACTTCTTGTATTTTCCTTCTTCAACCCCATTCATTTCAGTGTGTTGTATTAATTATATGATTCACTAAAAAGAAGAAAATGCATCTCTTAAAATTTAAAGGCATAATAATAAACATATTCAAGGAGATTTTACGGCATATGAAAGAAAAAGGGGAGGGGTGGTTTGTAGTATACTCTCAAAAACAAGCAAAAGACACACCTGTACATAGGTGACACGCCAATCTTGTAACATTTTCCCTAGCTTTCGCCTTTGCCATGCAGCATTTGTACAAAGAATTTTGAGTAAATTTATCACCAACTGCATGCATAATAATTGTACAGATTATAAAATGTCAAATTCGACAAATGATGAGATGTGAGCCCATTTATTTGGAGGAAAATAACTAGTACAGGAACAAGACTTCCCTTGAGTCAGAAAATTTAGGTTGATTATAAAAGCTAACAAAGTTAAACAGAAAGCAGTTATTTAGCCTTGATAGCTTCACGTAAAAAGATGATGATAATTAACAAAAGTATGTATGTCTAGTCGAGTTCAACACATCCAAAAGAATAGAAGGGGTTATGTTACGTAGTTGATTAATAGTATGCCATATCAATGGCTGTAATTGCATTACCTGTCCTAGTTGCACCATAAATTCATTTTTCTGAATTTCATGTATCTCTGCAACTTCAGGTAGCCCAGCAGCTCTAGTGATCATAGAAAAAATAGGATCCCGACCATAGAGTTTCCCGTCCTGGATCATCAGAAGCTGCTAACAAGTTTTAATGGTTGAGGTTGAGAACAGAGAACAAAACAATAGTAGTAAGTAAAATTCTACTACCATGCATATCTAGCATGCCTTCACAGGTAAGAACAGAGTGACAAACTAA